TAATTACTGAATGACCACTGGCATTAAATTCACAAGCCAGCGGTTTTTTTGTCTTTGAATTTTCTTTGAGTGCCTTCTGGATTGATTTTTCATTCCTGAAATTATGTCTGATTCTTAGTCTTGTAATTATTGAATGACCTCTGGCATTAAATTCACAAGCCTGTGGTTTTTCTGTCATTGAATTTTCGTTGAATCTTCAATCTTACCTTCAGTTCTAGTATGGGCAGAGACCTGTTGCAGTTACATGATTTCTTCAATTAGCAAATGATGTCAGATATTACTTTACTTCATACGCTGCTTTAGAAAGCTAAATGCTATTATTTATTTCCTTTGTTGAAATATGTTAGATAGAGATTTGAATAAGTTAACAGATGTAGATTGAGGCAATGTATGTTGCATCAGTTTTCTTATGTATTATTTTACTTCTTTGTATGATGTAAAGAAAGTATTGTAATCACACAAAAAAAAATGTCAGGTATTATATTTCAATTGAAATATCACTTTTGATAATTTTTTTACATATGGACAGAGTAAAGGATTCTTCCCCCCCCCAAAAAAAGGGAATTTTTCATGACATCTGTATGCACATACATATCTGGCATAACTAAAAAATTATTGACTGTAGGACATTAAAATTCTGTATACAGGACTGCTATAACATCTAGTTGTGCACATCTTTTTTATTACAATCGGTAAAACTGAACTTTAGGTGGGTATATATATTGGTGCAAATCTAATTTGCATGTGTTATGGAATTTGTTAAGGCAAAGTCAAATATTCATATTAATGGGTTACAATTGATTGAAAATTAATTAAAGAGAAATAGAAAGCAATAATATTGATGATTTTGTATAAATGCTTTCTGTTATGAAGAGCACAATGCATACTTATAGTCCAAAGAAAGGCGATCAGGTTGAACATTTCGATAATGTATATTTACATTTAAAATGTTATTGAAATGGTCTCAAGATAATCCTAAGACTATGTTAATATCTTCTGTACTTGTATCTGACACTGAATTCAAGAACATTTTTTATGAGATTGTTAATAAATTATACCTGTAAAAAATAAAATAGAAATTATTTTAAGCAAAACAGCCTTATTTTAAATTATTTATTTGGTTCCTAAATGGTATATGTCATAAAATGTTTTCAGTGAAGTACAACATCTTTCAAATCTCAGTGATAATATTCTGAATGTTCTACATGTATTCCTCTTATTACATGATACATATCCGAAGAGTACTCCAACTCAGCTCAGATGTATTGTAATAGTTCCTAGCTGAAACTGTAACTACAGCAGTTGTAACTAACAATAAGGCATATAAACATTATCTTTTACAGAATCCCAAAGGAAAAAATCATCAGGCATAAGGCTGGGAGATCTCAGTGGCCATCTAAATGATGCTTAGCCATCTTTTCCATGTCGACCAATTCAACAATAAAATAATCCATCATTTAGGTAGCAGATCTCCCTGTGTCAATAAAATGCCACTAAGATTGGAAAATGGTTAGTGATGCTGACTGCTGTAACAAAGGGTCCGGTTTCAAATCTTAGGAAAGGCATGAATGTTTGTAATTACAAAGTACTGAAGTCTTATCGAGAGGTTGGTGTTGGAGACCCTCGGACTGGTACCTAGGATGCTGTCCCTCCGAACTGTATCCGGGACAGAAACTAAGCATTTAGCAACTGCCTAACTGTATGCACAGGTGCCAGCTTTGCTTCAACCTGTACTGTGTCAACAAGATGTTGCAATAAGTAATTCTGAAGAAGGCATGGATGATTGTAAGCATATAGTGCGTGTGTGGTAAGGGTGCTCAACACACACAGCAAGGATAAATCCTCTCAAGAACTTTGTTCTCTGATAGGGGATGAAGAGCGGAAGACCCTCGGATTCCATTCACGGTGGAGCTCAGCAATCGGCAAGACCCCACAATACTTAATATGCCTACTTGGATGCAAAGTGCCAGTCTTGCTTCAACCTGTATTAATAAGGTACTGTATTTTCTTACTCGAATAAGAATTTTTAATCATCTTTTATTTAAGGAAACAACCACAGTTATGGTAAATATTAAAATAAACTTTTTCACTTCAAATTGCTGTGAGAAGCCATCAAAATAAATCATTAGTCTGGGCAGTTGATTTAATAAGATTAAAAACTATAGTCTTATGTGATAAAGCTACTGTATATATATTTTTATTATGATAAGAGTGTATGTATTTTGTGTATGCATTTATGCATGTGTAAGTATTTATTTATGATAAGAGTTATGTATTTTGTGTATATATTGAGTTATGTTTGTATTTATATAAGAAATATGTATTTTGTGTACAAAATAAAATTTTTTAACTCAAGTTGCTGCGAGAAGCCATCAAAATACATTACTAGTCCCGGCAGTTGATTTAATAAGATTAAGAACTATAGATTATGTGATAAAAGTACTGTATATCTATTTTTATTAATACTACATATTCAGATAACAGTTATGTACTATACATTATCGTAGTAACTGAATAAATCAAGACAAGTATCTCATTTACATTTCATACATTCAGTTTTTTTTCATTTAATTAAATTTATATTATTATAATCAGATTTATATTATTTGTCTTAAGTTTCTGAAAGTACTGCGAACCCAGAGAAAATTTTACAATGTATTTATTGATGTGCAAAGGTTCACTTTTGGAATAATTTATTAATATTTCGTAAATGATTAAAATGTCTTACAGATGATAATATGTACAATAATATAATTAGATACTAATTATCATGATGAAGGCAAACTGGCAAAGCGTTCTGAAGAAAAACGGTGTACAGACTTATTCTTTATCAATCACGGGTCGAACCAGCATCAATAAAAAGAAATTGAAAGGGAAATGCATAAATGTATCAAAAAGCAGCAGTTAACGCTTTTAAAATCTTAAATACAATGAGGAAGTTCATTTATCAAGACTTTATTTATGAATAATGAAGAAGTTATGACTTATGGCTATGCTAGTTGTTTCAAGTGGTCGATAGTGTAGTTACGGTATTCTCTGGTTCATGTAAGATATTGAATGTTGTGGCGTAGTTAAAAATTTATCCTCTCACGAGTCTTCAGCTTCTGAAGCCCATACAGTGAAGCAAGTACAATTCTGTCCGCCCACCAACCGTCTGACGGAGCTCTTCATTTAATTGGAAGATGACTTGATCTTATTTGACATGTGACTACAATACAAAATCGTTTCCTAAAAGCGGAAGTTCTGGGAATTCTAGTGGACTTCAGGATCCTTTGTCACATGCCGGCCTAAAAAAATTAAGGACTTGTTCTCTCAATAAGTTCGAGTAACAGTCTATCACCTCACTCGAAAGCTCTTCTATAGAAGGGAATCAAAATAAAAGCATATAGCTCTTTTGCTTTATATTGAGTTGCTAATTTTTGCTGTTTACTTCCAAGGGCCCCTAACTGTGTCATATGACGCAAAGGGTCCTTGGAAATTTAAAAGAAGACGGATTCTATTTTTATATAGAGATAATATTTATAAAAGAATCCATTGTCTTAAGTTTAAACATATAAATGTTGTTTAGCAGGACATTCAAGCCCCCCCCCTAAGCCTTCGGGCCCCTATGCGACGGCATTCTTTGCATACTCTTATTTACGCCACTGCGTATAGGATATGTCCTTGATGCCTACTCATAACTTATACATTGTCAATATTGTAAAAACTTTCTCTTGCTTAGCTAACGCACAAATGCTTTCTTCTCAAAAGACTTTTTTTCTCGTTGGAGGGGAGGGGGAATATGTAAATAAAAATTATAATTTAATTTAGCAATAGCCTTTTAATTGCTCGTTTTTAATTTGGTTATTTCCTCTTTATTCTAAAAATAATAATAAACATTTCTGCACTGCGCCATTTCTAAATTAATCCTATGCCACAAAGCTTGCGTAACGCTGATGACGTAGTTACTTCGGAACTTAAACTCTTGAGAACTCAAACCTTTGTAAATGAAAACCTTCCTCTTTGGAAAGCTGCCGTATTGAATTACTTCGCTTGTAACTCTCGCTGCTTGGACGTTATTTTGCTGTGCTTACTTACTATCGCAACTGTATTCAAAAATGTAAATTTTCTGACGATTAGAGTGCCAAGTGAATTGTGGCTAAAATTGAATTTGAATAAAACTGAAATTAAAACTGCCTCGACTACCAAGATTTCTATTCATTATGGATCAAAATTTCTGCTGTTCAATTACTTCTAAGTTCGTTTCTGTTACATATATATATGTAAGATATAACAAAATACGATTGGCGACCTCAAAATTAACTATTCTAGACTTGGTGTTCTCCCAAATTCGAAATCTTTTCATGTTGCGTAAAGCTGCTTGAAAAAGGTAACTAGAATTAACCAATCACAGCTTAGAATACTTTCTGCATATACTCGGAATAAATACCTCTTCACAGGTTAACTACGTCATTTTCCTTTCCCTAGTTTCTACGGTGCTAACATATTCGCGCTGCTTCGCTTCTCAGTTTAGATGCGTACGTCTTACTTTTAAAACCAGTGTATGTAAAAATTATTGTATTTCGCTATGACTGGATAAATGTCTACTAAGATGGTTTGATATACGGGAAAATAATGATTAGAAATTCCTTCAAATCCATTTGTGTTAGCACCATCTTTCCGCCTTTCCACTCGACTATCGAAAGCTGTTAAAAGTTCCAGTGATGTCTACGAACTTAAAACATTACACACACATATATATATATATATATATGCATTTATGCACATTATATTTTGCGTAAGGACTGTAATATGTGTGTGGGAAAAATTTAACAGCTCAAAATTTCATCATTTAGTTCTTTTAAATCGATAGCAGCATTGTCAACTTAATGACAATTGCTTATGGCGTCCCCCCCCCAAAAAAAAAAAAATTCTCAACTTGTGTTTGTGTGATGAATCTGAAGATCTTATTTAACGAACAAAATGTAAAAAAGATTTGTTATATTAATTTTTATTTTCAAAAATATATACAAAATATTTGCAATCTTGTTTTACATGAATGGTAATATTTTGATCTAAACATAGAGAATACATAAACTAAATTTTTAATTGTCGTTTGACAAATTTATAGTTTGTTCTTGGAATAAAACAGTAAATTAAAATTCATAATTGCTGCTGCACACAAATATGCATTCTACATAATTTATTAATAATTAAAGTTTTACTGCCTGTTCTCTCTTCAGAAGTATTTCCATTCGATTGTCGCATCATCTGATCTATTTTCATGGAGAATATCATTAACGCAATGATGCTGCCCAGAAGAGTAAAAAGAATTCAGTTAATGTGCTTTAATTACATATAACGTAGATTAATATTGATTAAATTAAATTACAAATCTTGATATTGGTTATCTAAACAACTTACTGTTTTAGAAATTTACAAAATAAAGAACAATTACTGAAAAAGGCTGAGACACCAGTAATTGGTATTGATTAGTAAAAGACAGATATTAGTTCTTCAAATTTCCTTATTCTTCTGACAGCATTCCGAAGACCAACAGCTTTCTTTTTCATTCACTGCACTGCGTCTAACAACCAGCTAGTGACGAAACTATACTTGGCCATACATTATCACACTCAAAAATGTTTTGTTGAAGAAAATTATAATAAAAAGAACATTGACTATTTTACTGAAAAGATGAACGCAGGAAACCCATCTTTTTGCGAGCATTCTTTCACAACAAACTTACTTTGTTGATTCTTCCATTCTTACTAAATGCAGTGCTCGTATTTATAAAATCAAAATCTTCAGAACTAACATTTATTTTTTTTTTCCAGTTTTCATTTATTTGCTGCTATACATATTAGTTGGAGTTATTATAAAAGTCAACATTTTGATATAATTCTAGTATCTTCTAAAGTTTCATCAATGACAACATAAACGCTTGTTATATGAATAAGAGAATGCATATTGTTGAAATGTATTTTAATCAAATTCGAATATGCTCGATGAAACTCAATAACTTGTCGTCTGCAAAATGCACATCGATCAAAATTATGACATTATTTAATGCTCTTCTTTTTTAAAAATATTACAATAATTTTAATCAAAATTTCACTTCGTAATTTGCAAAATAATTGAATTTTTCGGAATTTTATTAATTAACGGAACACTAATCATCTTTAGAAAAGTAACGTATTTTATATTTACTTTTTTGGTAAAAAATAAATACTTTAGAGATTTCAGTTCAATTTGTTATAAGCTCTTCTCCGTTTACAGAAGACATTCATTTTGCTTGCCTAATATCCTTTATGCCCAAGTCAAGCAGATGATTTCGTGCATGATTATAACATTAAACATGACATCTTTTTCTCTTTTTAGACGAAATAGAGTCATTAAGTAAATATATTTATCTGCTTTGTCATTCGGCATATTGCTTACAGTTATATGCAAATTAAAATTCACGCGCGGAAAAATTATTCCATGTTCTAAGAAATTTGTTATTTTACCTCAAGAAATAAAAGCATTTTTAAATAGTAGTATTGTTACTATACGAAATCATTCTATGAATCCAAAACATTACAGAATTATTTTTTTTAAAGTGATCCAATACTTGTATATTTTAAAATCGAACCACTAATTATAATGATGTTTTCAAATACATCTTCTCTAATATTGATAGTAAATTGCGTATGAGTAATTATTCTTATTGATAAAAATGTTCAACAGTTGGTGTTTTCCAGTTATAAATTGAGGATAAATTAAAATTATCAGTAGTCTTCAACTGTGGAGTAAGTAAGAAACACAGTAAGAAATATAGAGCTTGCCGCTCTGTGACTGATCTGGAAGCTTAGAAGTATTGGCCACTTCAGTGATTAAAGTTCTTTCCAGTTCGTTCTAAGAGTCTACTCATATTCTTCTCCTTTATATTTTCTAATATGAATATGGACAATGATAAGGTCCGGCGTAAATAGGCACAAGATAGGCAGTTCCTTGAGTTTTCTCCTTCTGTTTCTCCTTTCGAAGACACTGCGCACCACAGAGGAACATGAAGGAGGAGGATAAAGTTAAAGCAACTCCGAGCCAAGCCAATACGTAAGACCAACCATAATAACTTCTGCTATAGATCTGCAAAACCTAAAAAAATAAAAGTATACGTTATATAATTATACACTATCTTAAAACGGTAGAACAATTCAAGTTAAGTATAAAGATATATAATGTGCCGGTTTGTCAAAAAATGCTTCATCTTCAGTTTAAGATAACGTAATATATGTTTCAAAATAACATATCAAAACGTTATGAACTGAATACAATTATTTTTGACACACGAGAGACGTTCGAAATCTCTGTAAGTCTTATGTTTTTTTTAATTCTGAACCTGTATTCCGCGACATATGCAAAGTCCGGCTGAAAGGTCTCCGGGAATTAAAGCAGAAATGAAAAAGGACAGTATAAGTTTTATTACGGATTTTACCTTACCATCATACAGGACAATGTTTGCCATTTTGCTGTCACTTTGTTTTAAAGATAATTTCGCTGAAATGCTTGCCATCATGAACTATATAATCCAAGTTCTACAGTGAGCGTCTAATCATTTTCTCTTCTGTTGCCGTGATATCAATATAAAGAACAATTTTCAATTTCTCAACTGTCAACGGCGCACTTTTACTTCTAAGTAATTCTCTTCCCCCCAAAACGTTTCACAAAGTGGTGATACTTGTACAGCCGGTTAGTTTACCAGATCTGTAGCCGTGAGATTCTTTTGGAGATTCAAAGAATCTTTGTAGATTCTTTTGGAATCCTTGTAGATTCTCTTCTTTAGATTACAAAAGAAATGTGTAGATTCTTTTCTTTGAACTCCAATCCTTGTAGCTTCTTTTCTTTAGACTCCAAAAGATTCCTTTGGATTCTTTTGGAAGCCTTGTAGATTATTTTCTGCAGTACCTTAAAACGTTGATCACAAGCAACTGAAAGATGCAACTCATTACGAAATCGAGGCAGTAACGGAGGGGATGACAGGATGCATGCTGCAGAACTTCTGATTGAGGCTTCAAAAGCTCTCAGCTTGTGACAGCAAGCATTTAAATGATATATTTCGTAAGAAAAACGAGTGATAGGTTATGAAAATTGCACTAGGACCTTGTAGACATACGAAATTTTCGAAACTGGGAAATTCAGCTATGCCTTCGCCGGCATTCGAACGGACTTTCCGATTGTTATCCCGTCGTGCAACTAGTTAAACCACGGGACCATGCAATGTAGAAGATGATAATTCCTAATAATCTATATTGCCTTTTTTTTTTTAAATTCTATTACAAATCAGGGCATTTGTCTTTTGGAAGTTGTATTTCTAAGTAAAATGTTTTCTATGCAAGGTAAAGGTAAAATCTAATTTTCTTCTGTGAGAAATAAAATGTGTAGAAATAATTAATTCTGCAGATATAAATTCTCTAGAGTATTGTAAATATAAAATCTAATTTTTTATGGCTTCCGTAGGACAAAAATTCGAATATTCAATGCTCAAATATTCAATGCGCTTTATTAAAATCAAATGTGAAACGTTCCGTATCTTTATCTGTCAAAATTCGTAGAGATCTTTGCAAGCATATTAACAGACCTAAATCATTTTTCAGTGTCTATTACTGAGTAGAATTGGATATTTGTTTTAAATCAGTTAAGGGGACGGTAAGCGTTAAAAATTAGTTTTTTAAGTTTTTGTGTTTTCAACAAGAAATTTTATACATATGCGTATTATAACATTAGTTTATAAAATATGTGTTCAAAATTTGAATTTACATTAAAATAAATTTTTTTAAACAAATAATTATTTTAATTAAAGATATAAAATGCTCCTTGCGCGCTAATTTTCAATATTTTTTACTTATTTTTCTTTTAGTTATAAAGACTTGACAAAAGTTTTTGTGTATCCGTTATTGAATACGATAGATCGGAAACTTTTAAAAAGGATTTTTGTGAACTTAAATCCAGTTTTTGAAAAAATGTCACCTTTTGTTAAACATTATCACAAGTTTAAACTTCTTAATAACTTCATATCCAAAAATGCATACACAGATCTATTGTAACATGTAACAAGATAGTTCCTTCCAAATATCATTCATTTTTAAATAAAAATGAGACGCAAGGAGCATTTTCAAGACAATACGAAGTGCGAAAAATTTTGTTTTGAGAAAACCGAATTTAAAATTTTTCTTCAAAATTACGTTTACCACATGGTCACGAGACACAGCAAATTAACTTTAAATATGAATATGTAGACACTAGATAACATTTTCGTATCATTTAACTATTTTTAATCTCATAATATTAAACATGAGAAAAATAAATATATCGCAAATTGGTATGTGATTCGAAGTTAGAGGTAGAAACGATTTATGCATTACATCCAATGAAACTTTTAAAATTCACTCGCATCCTATGTTTTATTTTCATTTGTTATATTTACATTATCTTTTAATGCTTTAGAATATTTTTTATTATTTCTGTTTTTTCCAAGCAGGTAAACTTCTCTTTTTGCTTTGGTTCAAGCGACGTTGATCACGCTTTTTTGCAACGAGTAGGGAAAACGAGCTTGTTTTCTCCTGTTCTACGCATATAGCATTCACATAACTGAAATTAAATTCATTAATAGTTGTCAATACTGATATTTCTAGCCTTTTTTTTAGAAATAAACACTTCTTTTGGGCAAATATATAATTATTGCATCAGTAAATAACTGTTGCAATACATTTTTTAACATTTTCTCCAAAATTTAAAGGACAAAGTTTACGTTGTTTACACATTTTAAATGCTTGTAACTTTTTTAAAAATTAGAATATTTGAACTCGGTTTTTTGCATACGCATATGGAATATTATGAAAGTAAAAAAAAAAAATTCAATATTTTGGTTGATTTTTAGCTATTTTAAAGTCCACCGTCCCCTTAAGAAGCACCTACGAAACAAAAATTTGCTCGTTTTGGTGATTAATGGTTCCAAAGTGAAACATCATTTGATATTAAATTTATGTTTGATCTTGAGCAAATGGGAATTGCATGTATGTCTAGCATAAGGCGTAGGGTCCTGTTTAGTTTTACTGACAGTTATTTAAATTTGTAAGTAAGCCTTTCCTGAATTCTCTTATTTCCCTTCGTATTTCCTCGGCATGCTGTAAATGGGAGAACTGACGAGCTGCAAAGTTAAAAAAACTGCTCTATTTAGTTGATCACTATCATGAATGGTTTAGTAGCAAAAACCTTCAGAGTAAAGCAGTCGATAAAGAATTGTGTCAAAATATTTTACATAAAATAACATTTTATTTTGTAGAATATTTTTCTTTCGTTTTTATAGCGATAAAATTTTATCTCACGCTTTCAGTTAAATATTTGCCAACATTTCTAATAAAATTTATTTCTAGCACTTTCTGTTTTACCAAGATAACAACGTGATGGAAAACGGTGAGAAAAGTATTCGGGGTCCTACTGTATCGTAGATGCTTGACGCGGTAGAAAGACAACCATAATAAGCAGGGTTTTGAAATTTCTGTTATCAAAGTTTCAGTTATCATTTCTGTTATCCAAACAACCACCCAACAGGTGGCTGGCTATTTGTTGCAGCTTCTGTTGTTATCAGGAAGTTGAAAAGCCAGAAACGATTATTATTTAAAGAATAAAATATAATTATTTTCAGTTATTTAGAACTGTGCTTGTATAAAAGTTCCATGATTATGTTTCGTACTTTTATATAATTCATAAATGAGTTTCATTCAGTTTTCAGAGTATAGCAGCTTGCATCTGGTCCAGCAAGTCTCTTGCGACTTTCATAAAGGCTTCGTTTCACTTTATTTAACAATTTAGAAAATTGTTTGTTGTTATCTGTAATAGCTGGTATGAATAATAACGCAAGACATTATACAGAAAAAGAAAACAAATGCGCTCGTGCTAAATGAAAGTCAATAGATCTCTTTATCTCTCAAAGATTTATGTAAACAACCGAACCTACGTTATAAATTGACTTTTGTTATAAACCTACACCCGAATACCTTGTGGGATTCCTCACAGTGTAATTCTCAGTTACTGTAGAAAGCGAAGACCCTTAAGAACTGATAAGCGAATAATCGCTTGAGTTCGTGTGACAGGAAAGAACAAGATATACGGGTAACTAACCCTTTATTATTTCAACTAAGGTTTAACAAAACTCTGTCTTGGAGTGTACAATAAAGCCGACACTTCAGCTTAAACTTAAGAGACTAAGAATAATACTAACCTAATCTTAACTAAAGAGATATAGCCGAAGCTATCAACATTCTAACCGAGTTGGCCCCTTAACGCTAATTGACTGCGAAGCTATCAAGGGCCTAAAGGACGGCCGAGCGTAATAATAGCTTACGAGAGAGAAGCTTAAAAAGGCGGACGCGTGCAGACAGAATACCTGGTAACTCTCTCGCTAAGACCGAAGAACTTCGCGGTTAAATACCGCTCTTCCTCATTATGTATTCAGGCGTGATTCTAAAACTAAGGAAGTAGTAAGTTGAAGTTAAGAATCGATAGGAAAGGAACTTAAAATTTAACTGGTAATAAAATTAACATAATCCTTACAACCTAAACCCTCAAATAAAAAACTTACCCATTCCTATTTAGCCGAAACTTTTGTGAAAGCTTTGTTCCCAGCAATGGTTGATGGTGGGGAGTTCTTAGAATAAATTAGTGCCACTTTTCCATAATGAAACTCGGCAACGTCAAAAACAAACAAGCGCCAAAGGATATACTGGCAAGAGAAGATTCTACTTTGCTTCAGATTCCACAAGTCTTAAAAAGATTTAATGCTAACATTGTACTTGTGCTTCAGTTCTTTTCAGCATGTTACGTTACACAGTACTAAGCTCTTTATTTATGTTTATTCATGTATTTATTTTTAATTCCATCGACGGGATCCCACAGGCTGAAAAGCACCTAACCCAGTCGGCCAGCTGTTCCGTCGATGGTGAAAAGAAAGAAAGCATGTTACCTTCTTTTATGAAATATACTCCTGATAATATAGCCTGAAGATATTCAAAACTTATAAATGAATAAGTAAGTTAACTGTAAAGACTGTTAACTTCGATTTGTGTTCTATTTGAGTTAGCAAACTCTCTAGCTTG